TTCCTGTTAAAAGGGAGTTTTTCCTTCCCACTGTCGCCAAAGTGCTGCTCATAGGGGGTCATATGATTGTTGGGTTTTTCTCTGTATCTATGAAGTGCCTTGAGGCGACTTTTGTTGTGATTTGGCGCTATATAAATAAAATTGAATTGAATTGGAAGATAAAGGGAGTTATGTTTTTTAAGTGGCAAGTAATTACAAATACAGCGTTATCAGTTCAGCAAACATCAACCAACACAAACTGTCTGCGTCCATCTGAGCATGCAAAGATTGCATCAAGCACTTCAGTTGCTCAAATAGAGTAGAAAAGACCTACATAAGAACCAGTCCATTCACAGTTTGTCACACAAAGTGTCTGCTAACTAAAGGTACAGCCGCTGTATTTCACAGGTAGAGAAAGAAAGAGCTAACTTCACTCAGAGATGGAGACAGATAAGAAAGACAGGACAGGAGAGAGAGCTTAGATTTAAGGGTAAGGACTGCTCAGTGGTGTTTGATAAACTGGACATTTTGTGCTGCAAAACAAACTAGGGAAGACTAACTGTGCTATTTAAAGGTTGCATGAAAATACTCTGCAGCTTACTGCAGCATAAATCGGTTAGCTTGCAATAATGTGATGGATTTGAAATAAAACAGAGTGTGTGACTGGTGCACAGTGGTTCTGGTGCTCAGAGTTACATCAAGTATAGCAAAGATCTGATGATGTCTGGATGCATGCTCAATCATCCAGGTAAGTCTTCACTGAAGAAGTCACCTGGATGAGTGACGAAATGTTTCTCCCATTTAAAAAATTCTACGTCCAGATGAAGAGAATCACCCTTAATTAAGGTGATGATGCTTCACTGACAGACAGCATAAACAGAGTACTGTCAGTGTAGAGATGGAACATGTCTCTTACCCTCTCTAATTATTTGGTGAATGGCCTGGTGCTCATTTATGGTCTCACAGCACCCACTGAGACTCACTTTCATGCACTTTAGTGTAACTGTCACATACTCAGTTGCCTCAGGACAATTCAGCATCAGTCACTTGGCCAAAGACATATTAACATGTAGACGAGAGGAGATCAAACCACTGACCTTCTGATCAGTGGATGACCCCGAGCCATGCTCCCGACAAGTCAAGCAGATTGTACTGGTGAGTCCCGGCAATCATGTGCATCTTACTTAGGCACATACCACCCATCTACATACTGTCACAGAGCAAGCGTATCCTGCCATAGCAACAACACTCCCAGGAGCAGCCGGCCTCTTCACTGCAAAAACTGCGCAGGAAACTATCTGCCAAAACAACGAGCATCCGTACCATTCACCAGAACAAACTGAACCCTCATTTCAAATTGTGAGAAATGAGTAAAAATGAGCTCCAGTTCATTATTATTTCCTCTCTGCAGCCTTAAAGCGGCTGAATTATAGCTCAAACTGAAATGAGTGGGAAGGAGAAGACACTGGGTGACTGCTGTACTGCAGGCAGCCCAAAACAACAGCTGTATGTGGGAGTGCATATATGTGTGTCTTTGCATATACATTCATCACACCCACACTTGTTTCTGACAGTGGAATCATGTAGTGATTCTTTAGCTGCTCTCTGTGTGTGCCATCAGTACACATACTGGTTATTTAAAACCAGACCCCCGCTGAGATGTTGCTCACAGCTGACAGCTTAAAGGAATTAAAAGCTTACAGAATCAAGAGACCCTTTTGAGACATTTCAGTGCCACACATACTACATTACATCAAAGTAACTGATGGTACAAAGTAGTTTGTAACACTCTGGGGGCTCTACATGCAGCACTCTGTCTGACAGCAGAGTATCTACCTGTGAAAGCCACATTCTGACAAAGCTTGAAATACATCACGTATATTAATGTAGAGAAACACAAACAGGACGAGGATACAAAGATCGACTCACCAGATTTGTGCTTTGTGTATCCTCGAGCAGCAGAAAGGGTACGATGGTACGGCTCACTATTGCAGTGTACCGAGCATTACTGAGCCTGAGGTTTAGTCGGAGATTGTGTAAGCTGAGAGAGATTCAGATTTACTGAGAAGATTCCTCCCCTTCCTCCCCCTCCCTCCCTCTCTCTCTCTCTCTCTCTCTCTCTCTCTCTCTATGAGTCTGTCACAAGGCCCAGCCATGCGCCATAAATACCACTTGCCAAATAATTGCTCCACACATGTGAACCCACCCCGGCCCCTTGATCCCACCCCAACACACCCACACACACACTCCTCGTGCCTATGGTACGACAACTTTTCTCCGTGCCCCTGGTACACTGCGCAGAAACACCTTGCCACACACACACACACCCACACACACACACACACACACACATTGATATTGGAGACAGCGATTAAACATTCAGGAGTGAGTGAAGGTGAATGACATACAGCAAAAACTGTCTTAGGGCTTGTAGGCAAACCCTCGGCTACCGTGTACAAGGCAAAGTGGACCTTTTCTTCTTTAGCAGCCGTCACTGTCACACTGAGTATAAAGATCAAAGCAAAGACTCTATTGATCTGTTCAGGTGGCTTTTATGTTATTAATAGTTTTTGATTGACAACAGGCTGTTATGGATAGGCTAGTAAACTACAGTCATATGAAATAAATGTCATACAGGGCATCAGAGGTTTTCACAGTTTTACTTTGGTCCAGGTTACACTATCATATGAATGTGGAAACTTCTAGTGAATATGAGTTTAGATTTTATAGATAAATACAGTGACGCTGTTACATATGGCTGAAAGGCCTGTTTCATATTTAAATAAGTAAACCGATAACCAGGTAGAAACTACAGGTACGTAATCATACAATACATCCTGTAATCCATGATTGTCTCTGTTCAATGGGGGAATCTACCTTAGATGTGTGTCATCTACCATATATTGCAGAGTGAAAATTATTTCTTTTTCTACTTTTTGCCACTTTAAACGGCCCCATTCATTCTCTGCAGTAACCACTCAGGTTTTTGCTGAATGCCACCATCCAACTGCTGCTTTTCAGAGGCTCTATCTTTAGCTACAACACTCCACTTCAGATGTTGCTATAGGAACAGGAGTGCCAACCACCATCGCCAGCATTACAGTAGTAACTGTGTGTTGATGAGCTGGGATAATAACGTGATGAGAATGGGTCTGCTAAAAATGGCTGAGTGAAACTGGACTACCTGGCTCTATGTGGTGACCATATTTACAAAAGCTTTCAATTTGATGTAGCACCAAATCACAGCAGTCGCCTCCAGGTGCTTAATATTGTACGGGAGACCCTACAATAATACAAAGAAAACTCCAACAATCATATCTTTGTGAGATGTGTGTTCCCTAGTATTCCTCTGATTCTGCATTTCTTTCCTTTTCCTTCTTTTTCCCTGTCCTTTATTATTTAAGTTATTACAACCAGAACGGAGAGGACTGGGAGAAAAAGAAAAAGATGAAGAAAAGAGAAGTTGGGAGAGACAGAAGGAGAGGGAAAGAAGCAGCAGCAGGAAAGCCCAAACCCCGACCAGACGGCCTCCTCCTCCTTGCTGATGGCGAACAGAGGACGGGGGTGTGAAGACCCCCTTCATTATGCTCTCTCATTGTGGTGTTTCTGTGTGACATTCTAAAGTGGATTTAAAAACAGGGGAGGGGCATCGTACCAACAACTCTCTGCCAGACAGCAGCTGGTGTCAACACCACCCCTACCGACAACCTTCAGTGTCTACGTGTATTTAAAATTGAGAGGTGGGCACCGGTGCCAGAGCTGAGGCTGAATGAACAGATCCTCCTCTGGGCGTGCCCACCCCCAAGCCCTATATGTATGTGTTATGAGAGTGTGAGTAATGTGAGTGTCTAATGCTACGTTCACACTGCAGGCGAAAGCGCATCAAATCCGATTTTTTTGACCCTCTGCGACCCATCTATCCGATCATGGTGTGACAGTGTGAACGGCACAAATCCGATATTTTCAAATCCGATCTGGGTCACTTTCGTATGTGGTTCTGAATCCGATACATATCTGATGTTTTAGAAAGCGACTGTTTGATGGTCATGTTGCATTAAATCTGTCTTTTACGTCACTGACACAAGACAGACGCCAATTATCAGCGCCGGAGAAGACATCGCGAACGCTTCCTGACCATCCCGTGGAACTGCTGGGAAGACAACGTTGGAGAAACGTTAACATTTTGTTTGTACTGTATAATCTGCAGATTCTGACAGAAATCTGCAGATTATACAGAACAAATACAGTACAGATTATACAGGTGGCCCCTCCTGGCCACCTGTGCCTCAATTTTATTCTACTCTCAGGCTACGTTCACTCTGCAGGTCTTGATGCTCAATTCCGATTTTTTGATCAAATCAGATTGTTTTGTCTGCTCGTTCACACTACAAATAAAATGTGACAGCAAACGCGCTCTAGTGTGAACGCTCAAAGCGGCCGCATGCGCAAAAGAAGACGTCACACACAACGCGCTCTGTTTAGACCCAGACCAAACAGTGTTGTTTGACTGATGGACCTTAATATAAAGACTTCAGACTTTACGTTTCCAAATTTTTGCTGTAAGTTATTTTGTTATTTACATAATAATGTAAATAACCTAATAATGATCCTTATTG